AATTAATATGTATCCGCGAAATTCCTGGTCGATTGCGTGACACTAACATGTAAGAAAATTAGAGCTGGCGTTTACCCCTTGTTCTAGATGAACCCCGCACTCGTGATTCGAGTGAGTCTGTGAAATACAAGAGAGGAACAAGATACAAGATACAAGATACAAGTACGCACGCGTGAAAACACTCACGCGCGCGCGTGTGTGTGTGTGCGTGCGTGCGGCGTGCGTGCGTGCGTGGTACTTGTGTATGCGCAAGCGCGTATTGTGTGTTCGAAGAGTGTGACGTTGGAAGGATTGGAATAACGCGTGAATCATGGGCAAACGAAAAATCTAACCTGGACTCTATATATAGCACACACACACACACCCACCCACACACACACACACACAGGGACGCGCGCGCGAGCGCACACAACACACACAACATCACACACACACAGCAGCGCGCGCGCCGCGCACAGCGCCACAGCCACACACACACACACACCCACCACACAACACACACACACGGTCGCGCGCGCACACGCGGACACGCACTAACACACAGCACACACCGACGACACACACACACACACATCACACACGACACAGCGCACATAACATACGCGCTCACTGCACGCGCCAACGCAACAAACTGCACACGCACACGCACATGTAGGCGCACGACGCGCCACAGCACACGCACACGCACACGCGCGCACACACACACGCGCACACACACACACGCACGCACGCACGCACGCACGCACGCACACACACACACACACACACACACACACACACACTTATATGTTACACTAACAATACTTATTCCTGCATAAGAAAGTTACTGCTATAGTTGCGGATTGCTCTAAAAACGCAATGTAAATGTTTAAGGACCACAATGTAATTAAGTGTGCTTGTCATATTTTTTGTGTAATAATCCTTGGTAGGTATCTAGCAATGTATTTTATTTATTCATAATTAAATTAACTTTAATGGTAATATTTGAGAAACCGAACGAAGGAAAAATGCAAACTAAGCTTGAACATAAGTTTCATTTTTTTCAGTTGTGATCTAGTTTTTATAGTGTTGTAATGTATGTGTAGCAAATTTCACTGCGGTAGCCTGTGTTGCCACAGCCCGGTAGGTCATCTACCATGAGCGATAAATATCATGTATTAACGGCTTTGTACGCGTGGGAAAAGGATTTAACTTTAGTGTGGACTGGTGACCACGCAAAAAAATTATGCAACCAGAGTTGTCAGAGTTAGCCGAACGCGATGACGACTTGCTGAGTTAGGAATGAATCAGACAGGTGAAAGGCGCGGATATTGCGAGGTGGGCAGTAATCGCGCGAGAGCGTGTCTTAGCGAATGCTAAAGACGTGCGGAATTATAATAATCGTGGAGAAAGTGAAGAACCGTTAATAATAGCAATAATAATAATAATAACAATAATCAGTTATTAATAATAATAATAATAATAATAATAAGGTAATAATAAGAGCTGAGGTGGGAAAGTTGGAGTATAGAAGTATAGAAGGCGAGTGCATAAAGCGAGCAAAAGGAGCGAGAACTATTGGCTGTTCGTGCGCGTTTCCCGCGACCTTAATTCGCTGTTCGGAAGTTGCGCGCATGTTTACTCTGCATACGTGTATAACTCTGACAGGGTAATGTCACGACTTTGTATTTCCCGTAGATTTTACTGTAACAGGTAGCCTATGTTTAGCCTTGCCCTAACCCCGATCAAAAACTCTATATATAATTATCATCGCACTATAATATCGCGTAAAGCATTCTTGGACGAATATCTGTTGCAGATTTGATCAGGACAAAGACGGATTTTTATCCCTGGAGGAACTCAAAGTGATGCAGCAAAAACAAGGCGAACCACTTACTCACCTAGAAATGAAGAGTATTATGCGGGTAGCAGACGAAGATAATGACAACCAACTCACCATGCGTGAGGTAGATCTAACGTTTGATAACCAAGTTAATGCCGAATGTTATTATTTATATGTTATTATGCCGAATATTATTTCCTGGATGAAAGCGCATCATTGTGTACAGTTTGCCGTATGTTTTCTACCCTTAATATTGTGAGAACTACCCTAAGAAATGTATGGCACACTGACAGTGTTTGTTAATGCGCAGGTTCCTTATAATATGCCTGTATAATTATATTGATAATACACGATAGTTCACATACATCGCAAACAATTAAATTATTTTCCAGTTCCTTTTGATGCTAAAAAAGGCGTCACTGGGGGAACTTCCAAACGGATCGGAATTTGCCAAAATGGTGGAGACGAATAAAAAATTTGGGAGCAATATTGAAGTTGACAAGGCAGGGGTAGGAGGAGCCATGAACTTTTTCGACGCCAAGGTATGTCACCTGTAACTTATGCGACTGTCAATATGCACTCACATGAGCAACAGCATCGACCTGCTTGTCTTAATGTCTTTATAATCTTTTTGTACCTCGCTTATAAAAATCATGGTCAATACGTAACAACAGCACGTAATCCAGGATGTCTTGCAGAGAGCGACTTGCTAAATAACATTAGTTTTCACATGCATCTAGTTATACCTCCATGCACGGAATGGTGCGGGGAATGTGGAGGCCGTCGAGAAGGGGGGTAGGCGGTCGCGAAGGAGAGAAGGACGGGGGAGGGGGAAGGCGGTCGAGAAGGGGAGAACGGGGGAGGGGGTAAGCGGTCGAGAAGGGGAGAAGGACGGGGGAGGGGTAGGCGGTCGAGAAGGGGAGGACGGTGGAGGGGGTAGGCGGTCGAAAAGGGAAGAAGGATAGGGGAGGGGGTAGGCAGTCGAGAAGGGGAGGACGGGGGAGGGGTAGGCGGTCGAGAAGGGGAGGACGGGGGAGGGGTAGGCGGTCGAGAAGGGGAGCAGGACGGAGGAGGGTGTAGGCAGTCGAGAATGGGAGCAGGACGGAGGAGGGGGTAGGCAGTCGAGAAGGAGAGCAGGGCGGGGGGAGGGGTAGGCGGTCGAGAATGGGAGCAGGACGGGGAGGGGGTAGGTGGTCGAGAAGGGGAGCAGGACGGGGGGAGGGGTAGGCGGTTGAGAATGGGAGCAGGACGGGGAGGGGGTAGGCGGTCGAGAATGGGAGCAGGACGGGGGAGGGGGTAGGCGGTCGAGAAGCGGAGTAGGACGGGGGAGGGGGTAGGCGGGTTCTCGTACACCCGCACTATCAGCGGTTAACTTAATTTGCCTAGAGGCAATGCCACGCGCAGTTAGTGTTCTGGGAAGTTCGCTATTAACCATGTAATAGCATTTATATTGATTGGTCTATGTGGGGGCATCCTGGCTACGGCACTAATACGAACCAATTTTCTGCGGGCGCGCGCGCGCTTCTTTTCGTAGTCCTTTCTTTGCTCCTCTAGGCATTCGTTTTTGTTATTTTCTCGGTCCCTATCTTCTCGCGCCTGTATAACATAGGGACGTTTACGTGCTGCTGGTTCTTAGATGCTATGTAAAACTTTGCTAAAGCCCGGCGCACACGTGGCGATTTTTATCGACAGTACCGTCGATTTTTATCGCCGGTACTGTTGATAAAAATCGTCACGTGTGCGCCACCCGGCGACAATTCAACCGAGACAGGATAAGGAAGCCAATAAAGTTGAACAAGAGAAAAGGGCTTCTTTTAAAGCCAGGGCACAGCAATTCGAATAGGGGATACATAGTATGTTATACAACAGGTTCAAATGCTAGCTCCCTCCACCGATGACAACAGCGATAGTTACATATTAGACATAGCAATCTCCCTTCGTACTTATTTAAACATGCAAGATGGTGTAATTCCAATCTCTTGCCTTAAAACAATGTTTTGTTAAACTGCAAAATCATAACATTGTGCATTTTTGACTCTATGCTGTTCGAAATACTAAATACTACATAACAAGCTTTCAAAAGTAACTTGTCTCAAGTGACAATTTTATTTAACTTCACATCTCAGCCAACATAGTTCAAGGGCAAATGAATAGGAAGAGCCACCTGGTAACGCTAATTTTATAATGGGCGCCTCGGTATGTTTTTACGGTACAATTGTGCAACCAAATAGGGTTGCTATTACTATGCGTTAGTACTATTACTGTGCAATTGCACGCCTAACGCACGAGGCTGCGTTGAAGTGGAAGGCTAGCTTGAAACTGCAAGCCTCGTCTACTCTGGCGCGCATCAAGTCGCAGGTCACTCTACAAGAACCCCATCTTTTACAAAACCCCGTCGAATCGCCCTCCAACAGAATGAATCTGTTTGACAGTGAATTAGTTTGTGGTTCTGACCAGTCACTAACGACTACTGCCATTTCACAGCAGGACCTGCTCATAACTAGTCACGCTAGGTATAAGCTGGAAGAAATACTGCCTTAAATACTAATTGAAATAGAATCTCGAGTAATTTTAAGTAAAAGGGGTCATCAACCTACCGTAGCACCAAAAACTCAGTAGAAACACTAAGACATGTTGTTCACAGCCAGTTGAGTTGATCTAGCAGCAGCAAGAGCACCTCTTGTCGCATGTCAACACACCTGCGCTACACACATCAGACTCTCTGCCATCACAATACAAGCACACATTTCGTAATAATTAAATTCCCAATATACATTTACACGAGCGGGTCTTCGAAAATTCAGATTAGAAGTTTAAACACGTAAAAATCTGTGGCATCACATGCCAATTCTGCTAGATGTTGCTTAGTAAGCTGGTGAAATGCTCATTCGCTGAACTATCAGTGAATTTTTTTACCGCTCAGTAGTTCACCTGTTAGGCAACCAAATGATTCACCGGAGAGAACAAAGATGTTCAGCAAAATTTAGAACCGAAGAAAAGGGTTGTTCTAAGTTATGAAGAGATTCAGTTCCGAGTGTCGGCCACGGATAAAGCTAGACTCCTCTCACGCGCAGGCAGCTAACCTTGCTTTACTCAGAACACACCTCTTCAGCTATTTATATACTACCACAAAATCCATCTAAAATGAAACATCATAAAAAAAATACGCCTACAAGCATCCATCATTTTCCCATACAAAATACAATTTCGATAAACAGCATCGGCACCGACGTACGCTGAGTAAATAAATGTCCAGGTACACCTGCTTCTGTCCAAAGGAAACCTTCACATTTTTTGTTTCTAATGTCAGAAGTGATGCACGTAACGAGTCAACACCTTCAGACAAACAATACGATATATAGGTTCCGTGTTTACCCCACCACGCACAAGTGTCTCGGTAATGGCGTGCTGGATTAGACAACGACAACCTCTTCACAACAGGTCTCGGTTGTGGTGAACACAAAAACGCATTTTTTTTATATATAAATATAAAATACATGTATATTGCTTACAAGAATGGTGAGCCATGTAAATCGCACAAAAAATCCAAGTCTCCTAATTAACCAAGCGAACCAGGTGGGCACGCGGCACTTACATATGGAAGGACTTACTGCACTTCAGCTAATGCTCCAACATGCTCGACGCACCCGCTGCTAAGTTTGCCAGTGGCAGTGAACCACAGGCGTGACGTAACATGTGTGGCTGTGCATATGAACCACTAGTCTTTACTTCACAGAGCACTACTACACACGTACACGCGTGTAATAGTTCATAACACTAGGTGGTCAAATGACACCGGAATTCAGTAGATAAAAAACTCATACTGGCTATTTTATTTAGCATTTCTCTTTCACATTGTTTGACATTAAAATGGTTCAAACATAGAGCAAAAACTTGCAAAACACTTGATAATCATTTATTATAATGGATAATGAATTTATTTCAAAAACAACACGTTGTCTATGAAGACATGCCCTAGTTAAACTTCAGCTGCAGGAAAGACCCAATACGCATGGTAAACTACCCAAGACCCTCCCAATCCCACAAAAATCCTATATCATCTGTACCAGGAAATATTTCATGAATGAAACAAGTACTCCTTGGCCAACGGTAATATGGGGGTTCATCCGATAGAACCAGCCCACAGATGGACACTGCACACAGTGGCAGGCCAGAGATGCATACTCCAAGCACATCAGCACAATCCCTCAAGCCTCCAAGGCAAATGTGCCCGTGTTGCCCTATGGCGACGCCTCTGCTACAGATACACGCGTAAGAAAGTAGAGCTCTTGTGCTTTCGGCAGAGGGAAACAACATCAGGTCTGTTAGAAAATGGACTGCATCATTGTGTAACACGACCCCTGGCTGCGTCTCATCGATCTAATTATAGCCATAATCTTCGTAAAGAGAATATGTACAAATCAGGCCATGATTTCTCAAAGAGAATCCCCAGTCTAGATCCTTCCTGTCCACCGATAAGCACGGTGTTCGCCATAAGCACTAGTCTGACGACAAGACCACCCATCCACACAATAGGACCAGGCAGAAACGGTACATAATCTCTAGATTATTTTGCAAAACAGAAACTGATAGCATCGTAGTCAGCATGACACAGGAGGCCGTCATGAAAAGCAGTCAACATGTAGTATTTGTAAGAGATGTTGATAGAAGATCATTTGATGAAGAGTTATCGCGATAGTTTGCTGACCAATGCCGAGGATGACAGCTCACCAATAATTTGTTTGAGTAGCAAATGGGAAAACAGTTAGCGCCTGTGCCTGGTTGAATTATTTCTTGTCACTGAATGTCTTTACTGCGATAGCACATTCGTTGTCCATGGCCTTTAGAACTGTAACCTGAAAATACAAGAGCACACATTTTACCAGGCGAATGCATCAAATGTGTTGTGTGGCAAAAGGTTCATTAGAGAAAATGGCAAAAATTAAAATTCCATAATTTGGTGGGGGAAAGTGTGTGAGCAACTGCTTGGGTAAACATCTGAAGCAACAGAATTCCATGCTTCCAAAACACATACCAGTGCTAATTAGAATGATTGTCACAGAGAGGGCTAATAATACCCCCCACCCCCGCTTTGAGCTGTTATGTATTGTAATTTGTAGAATTTGTCAACAAACGGTTTCATGGGAAAAATCAGCTGCCACAGAAGGCGCAAGCAAACGCAGAGTGAAACATGAACAACATCTAGCACATACTCATGCAGGGGTAGAAATTAACTTTTAAACACGGAAGTCCAACGGGACTCCCTACACTCAAAAAGAGGGAGTCCGCAGCAAAATGAGGGAGTATGCAGTCTGAGGTTCAAAATTAAAGATATTACTAATAACGCATGTGCTTATTTTTAAGATTCATGCGGTTGCACGTCTGCCAAATTTTCTCTGGACATTAGCTGAAAAATACGGTAATTCCGCGAGGCTGTGCTCTGGAACGAACTAATTAGTATGGCAGCATTTTTAAGGAGTCACACGGACTCCTGCATAATCAAATCAGGAAGTCGGACAGTAAATATGGGAGTATTTGCCTCCGGACTCCCGCTAATTTCGCACCCTGCACACGCGCACGCACACACAGGGATGGAGGGAGGGAGGGAGGGAGAAAGAGAAAGGGGGGGGAGAGAGAGGAGAGAGAGAGAGAGAGAGAGAGAGAGAGAGAGAGAGAGAGAGAGAGAGAGAGAGAGAGAGAGAGAGAGAGAGAGAGAGAGAGAGAGAGAGAGAGAGAGAGAGAGAGAGAGAG